TGTACACTCAAACAACAATAGAATGGCTAGCTAAAAAATATATATTTTATTTCATAAATTTGTTTTTTGAAAGCAGCTTGTTCACGCTAGGCCAAAAATGGACATTGCCCTTTGATGTACTATTCAAAAGAAATTAAACGAGCAATATATAGGTACTTAAAGGAAATGTGAGGCATTTTATTGAGTATAAACAGTTTAGTAGATTTAATATCTATAATATATTGTCACAATCGACAGGACGTAACAAACAAACAGGCCATCGTTCATGGAGCTAATAGTGTCCGCAGGAACAGGCGATGTGAACTGGGACCAGATCTCTGGAATACACAGCTTGTGACATTTAGAACGACACATTAATAGTTTGAGTTGACATGACTGGCAGCTTGAATGTAGTGTCATGACAAAATAATATTTGTACTATTTACATTATAAAAAAAGCAAAGAAACAATAGTCGCCATACCTATATATTTATGTAATCAATTTTATATAAAGTTAACTTCTTGAAAAAGATCTTAATGCATTCATGAACAAAGACGTTTTAATAACTTTAAACTTATAAATTATAATAACAATTGGTTTATAGGTAAAATATTTTAAAAGCTGGTAAAATTTAGTTCAAATATTTGTAAGTTACCAAAAACATATAATAAATATTTGATAGTTGTTCCGTAAGTTTGGATCGACACCGTGCTGCAGAAGGCTGGAAAAATAATCGAAAAGAGTTGAAGAACTGAAGTAAAGACATTAATCAGTAGGCGCCAACATAATCATTATAAAGTATATAAAGAAACAGTACAAGATTATAAACCTCACTAACCTATACAGACGTCAACTCTTCCTTTATCAGTCGTTTCGTGTAGTTGTGTGTAATACCAATAGTCTCTGGTCGTCAGTGGAGCCCTGACCACGTCCTCGTGCCTGAAGAAACTGATAAATATATATAATGTTTAGTATGATTAAAAATTATGTGTAATAAATTTTTACTAATAATTATAATTGTATTAAAAAGGATATCTCATATATTGGTTCAGCGTCACTGAGAGGCAGACACGAGATAAAGATTTTATTGTACCAAGAAAGATAGTTAGATAGATAGATACATAGTTAAAATATGTTAGAATTTATTCGAGTTTTATCTTAATATAATAAATATTAATATACTAAAAGTAATTAATATCTATTTTTTTAACTAGTTTCAAGTACAAAACCAATTTGTTATATAAAATAAGTTAGTACCGCTGTAGTTGATGCATTATAGGTAACTAGCTTTCCGCCCGCAGCTTCGCCCGCGTGGAGTTCGGTTATATCGCGTTTCCAAGAGAACGTTTCAAAAGTCTGGGATAAAAACTATCCTATGTTCTTTCTCAAGGTCAACTCTATCTCAGTACCAAATTTCATTAAAATCAGTTCAGTGGTTTAGGCGTGAAAGAGTAACAGACAGACAGACAGACAGACAGACAGACAGAGTTACTTTCGCATTTATAATATTAGTAGGGATTAAACGAATATAAAAATAAAATTGAGTTCAAGATCTCTCACTGTCAGGTAATAATAGTATTGTTGTTTGTTTGTGTTATTAAAAATAAATCTTATAATTTTCTTGTGAAATTTCGATCATAGTTTCATTTTACTGGAGACTTACAGGAGACTATCGGTACTCTATGATAGAAAAATATTAGTATAAAACGGAATATGGGGAGATTTGTCCTGTAAATTACCTTAATGATATTTTCATTACTTTTATCAAAGGGGTTTTAGTATATGAAGTTATATGAATATATGACGCATGTGAATATTAATTCTGTTGTTATTGTTGTTTATAATACCTATAAACTTCATATACTTTTTTATTGCAGAGAAAAACGGACAGCGACATCTATCAATCATTATACTAACTACAAACTACGTTCATCTGTTGTGCAGTAATTGTTAAGAAGGTACACGTAATTTCGAGATGAATTATAGATATAACGTTATTTTCATGTATCAATTATATCATTGTAGAGTTTTATTACAATATAATAACTATGTAGAAGTTTCAAGTTAAATATTAGTAGTATAAATGAGATAACTGACATCTGTGGGAAAAAAGGACAACCACTTTAACGACACAGCACTACTAAAGCTACTAAATAATAACAATAGATTGCGGTTTTTAAGAACAATAACACGATTTATCAAAACCAAAAAGGGCTTTTCTATGTTTTACCTCTAAAGTTAATGACAATATTACAGTTCACAATCCTCAATAACTTTATACATATTTAAATATGTCTACTTGCTAAGTGTACTTGATACTTTTACAAATAAAATTATTTGAATCGAGTAGGTTTATATGTTCACTAATCTGATTTTAAAGTTTTGTTATGTAAGTATGTATTTTTTTTCTAAATTAAGAATTTAATTTATAAGTACATACAGGTGTCGCTGACTATCGTGTCTTATACAAAACCACGACTGCTATATTTTAAACTCAAAATTAATTAATACACTTTGGGTTTACATGTGACACCTATGATTTTATTATTACATTCATTACTCTAAGGTATCTTAATGTGGCGGGATATTTGATATTAGTCCATTTTCCTTTTGTACTAATTGTCGTAATTATTGTTTTTATTAGTATTAATTTTTTTACGATACATATTAAACAAGTGGAATGTATGTTAATGTATAAATGAATTAAATTTATAAAATCAACTTAAAACGTGAATCTAAAACTGGCTGTTTATTTTCATAAACTTAAACGTGGTTAAAGGGCCCGCCTCTCGACCTCTCGTCGCCGAGGGCGCTGGTTCGATCCTGGCCCGGACAAGTACCAATGTGATTTTTCCGAATCATATGAACTTTCTAAGAGTATTTAGACATCACTGATTAATGTTGATTCCCAAAAGAGGGTTGATGTCAGGCAGGCGGCCGGTCGTAAAAACAAATACCCAAAAACTATTCACAACATGTAAGGCAGACCCTGGCTATAACTGGGAGATTGCCAAGTAGAAGATATATGTATATATAATATAGGTAAATGAATTGATGTTCGTTAATCTCAATAAAACTCGAGAACGGCTGAACGGATTTATCTTATCTTAGTCTTGAAATGTTCGTGGAGGATCAGGGAAGTTCTAAAAGCTGAAAAAAAAAGATTAATTTCCGGGAAAACTCTAAAATCAACCCTTTTCTATTTCCCATACGTTTTTTTGACATTAGATTTGACAACTTACTAATATGTCAATCATTCTGTTCGATTGAAACAGGAAAAATGCAATAAATACATTTGATTTGATTATAATGATTTTAGCAAAGGATGAGTTAAATTGATAATTAGTTAGCGATTTCCTCTGTAAAATAAGATAAAGTCGAAGAAATTTTTTAAAGACAAAAAATCCCAAACATTTTAAAAATTGATTCTTTGTGTGTAAGCCTTTCATCAGTTCCCAAAATTGAAAAGCGATTTCACTGCTACTCTTATTAAAAATCACAATTAATTAATATTAAAATTATATCGACGGGAAATAAATAAATGTTAATTATCGGTAGTTCTAATATCTTATTATACACATGCATATAAAATTTCTCTTATCAAATGTGTGTAATAGATATTGGCAAACTAAATCAATATACTAAGAACGTATAGTTACCACCGTCTTTGATGCCACCATGCCAATGGTACCACCAGTGTATAAAACTAAAACACGTCTCTCATTTCCACCTGAACACTTCGTCGTATTAAATTTCAATATTTCCAGATTTGACTTCTTTAATATTGACCTAATTTTTTTGTGTACATTCTTCATAGAAGATCCAATTAGATCACAGTTAAGATAAAAGAAAGGTATATCGCTTTGATTCTGCATTTTTAATAATTGATAATAAAAAATACAGCAACAGTCTCGCGGCAATCTGGAAACAAAATGAATCCACGACTGCACATAATGAAGTTCAATATACCTATACTGAATTAAAACTGATAAATATTTAATTACATTTTATACTACGTACATATGTTGGAAGGAAATAAAAAATAATTATTTCATTCAGAAGTTTATTAGAATAGGATAATGAATATCGGTTTAAAAGAACCGTTTGTAATGTCCAGAATGGGCAAGAAGATACAAATTCCTATGGATTTCTATGGCCAAAGAATCTTCGTTGCTCATGATTTTGTTTTAGCAACTATTGTATAAACTGTAACAAATATGTTACATGAACTGAGAGTTACACTTTACCTACAACTAATACTACATATATATGAAATTTAAAACTAATATTAAAGAGATAACAGAAGCACGTGTACCCTTTCTTTAAAATACCAGAAACACGGAACAATGAGGGATAAATCATTTTCAAAATCCATGCGCATTATTTGTAAAATTATAAAAAATTTACATCATAATTATTAAAAACTAGTTTTTGCCCGCGACTTCGTCCGCGTTAATTTCGTCATTAGTAATATAGGTATAGCTGACCGGGCAAACTCTATTCCGTCTTCAATAACCCGGTATTGGTATTTATTAAATTTCTACTGTTTCAGTCGAACAGAATGATTGACATATTAGTTAGTTGTCAAGTCTAATGTCAAAAAATCGTTTGTATTTGAAATAGAAAAGGGATGTTTTTAGGGTTTTCCCGGCAATTATTCCAATTTTTCTCACCTTTTAAACCTTCTCTGGACTTCCAGGAGTATTTCAAGACTAAAATTAGCCAAATCGGTTCAGCCGTTCATTTTTATATATATAGAAGAAGAACATATATTAAAAGAAATAAAAAATAAAATACATTGTTTACTTTCATTTTGTCAACGTCAATAAATAAAGCAAGGATATACATAGATGACAGAATATAATCAGAAGAAACATATATGTATATATGTATGTATATCCTATGCATTGAAAGAAGCCTTTGAAAGAATCCTCTAGACAGTAGGCAAAGAATCTCCGGTATCTAAATCATTACGTGACAAATTGTTCATAGTCCGACATCAATCAACCAAACTGACAAGATGTGTGACCGCCGGGTGGTGATCAAGAATGCTGACATGAGGGAAGACATGCAGCAGGAAGCTGTTGACTGTGCAAAGCAGGCTCTTGAAAAATTCAGTATTGAGAAGGATATAGCAGGATTCATCAAGAAGGAGTTTGATAAGAAGTACAACTCGACATGGCACTGCATTGTCGGCCGGAACTTCGGGTCGTATGTAACGCACGAGACGCGCCACTTCATCTACTTCTACCTGGGCCAGGTGGCCTTCTTGCTATTCAAGGGCAGCTAATGCTCTAAGGCTGGCTGACATCAGTTTAATGTATTTATATTGAATAATTTTAGTTAAATCCTAGACTCATTACCTAGCATAGTGTCATATGTTACTTGTTAGTACTTATCTTAAATTAATGTTTTACTTTGTTGACACATTGCATGAGATATTTTCCATACTTCTATAATTATTAAACTTTCTTACAAACTGTGGTTTTGTTTTATTTGGAACTGTCATAGTTGAAAACTTAAATGATGATACTACGTTTGGGCTACTTTTCAGCAACCGTGATCACGGGCAGACGAGATGTGAATGTCTGTCAGTTGGATTTGTTATTTTGAGTATAATCCGAAAAATATTAGTATTATTTAAACCTTAATAAAACGACTTCCTTAACAACTAAGTAAACTATTTCCTAGAAAAACCTATTAAATCTATTACCATATAGTATAATTTTCTCGATTTAATTATAGTGATTACAGAACTAATACATTACAAAGTCCATTTTCTGATAACAAAAATTATAACTCATTTTTTTAATCAAAAGGAATCTGTAGGTAAAAAATAACTAAATCAATTTTATTACTCGATATTACAACCATAAATAGAATCCCTACTAATATTATAAATGCGAAAGTAACTCTGTCTGTCTGTCTGTCTGTCTGTCTGTCTGTCTGTCTGCTACGCTTTCACGCCTAAACCACTGAACTGATTTTAATGAAATTCGGTACAGAGATAGAGTTGACCTTGAGAAAGAACATAGGATAGTTTTTATCCCAGACTTTTGAAAGGTTCTCTTGGAAACGCGATATAACCGAACTCCACGCGGCGAAGCTGCGGGCGGAAAGCTAGTATCAAATAAGTTTAGAATTAGCTCTCGTTCTAGGAATTTTAATTTAACCCTAACGATCTTTTTCACGGGAATCCGTATTTTTTTACAAAAAATAAAGCACGCGTAGTATATCCAAAAAATATTACTTTCATTTAAATGGATAAAATTCTCGAAAGTCTCAGGATCGAACTCGCGCCCTCGTGCACTAGAGGCGGGCCTTTAACCACTAGACCACCAATGATTTAATAATACAAAAAAAACAATCTATCCATAAAATGTTGTCGGTACATTTAAAATCTTTCACCTCAATTATTATACATTTGAATTTTAGAAATTTAAAACAATTACAATATATATATTAATTATACATATATATTATTTGTATCATTTCTTAATATTAACTTAATTATAAAAAAAAACAAAAATTCAAATAACACTCGTTCAAATATGTTCTGAATCACGCTATCGAAGCGTTTTCATTTCTAAAATTTATATAATATAATTATGTTGTGTCAGCCGGGGGTCTAGTTGTTCAGGGGAAGCCAGAGGCCCTAATCTGGTCTGAATGGGTGCAATCGCTCAGATGAAACTCCTCGGGAGTTTAGCATATACTCAGTTAATACTGACGTCCGACTACGGTCTCCTAGCAGACCGTCTCACTCACGCTGAGTTGCTCTGCTGCCTCACGCCTGCCATGTCCTGGCTCACGCCTGCCATGTCCTGGCGAACAGCATCAGCTCGGAACCCTGAACACATCCATCGACTCCTCTTTTGGCTTTTCATATTATTGTCCTTAGAGAGTATTTCGTTTAAAGCGCGTTTCTTATGTTAGAAGGCTATTAATGTTTTACTTATATTTGTATGAGTGTGTCGGATTGTTACAAATTTATTCTGAGACTTAATCATGGTATAATATTTGTATAAAAAATAAACAATGTAAAGGAATTAAATCGAGTTAGGCTTGTAGCCCATACAAATATTTTTATATTGCTAGCAATGAAATCCATTCTTTGAATGTGTTTTAATTTCAATATCCTTACATTTTAATGTCGTCTTCGCGGACGAGGATTCTTGGCTTGTCATAGCGGATGGTTTGTCCACATATGACTTCACCGCACGCTTAGTTTTAATATCTAAGATATGTATATTCTTCAACCCTTGCACTAAGGCCTCGGCCTCGAATTTTGCGGGCAGCGGAGCGGCGGCGGCGGCGGCACGGAAACGCATACTGTTCTCCAAACTAGCGGGCACCGCTGTATTCGAGGGTCGGTCCATTTGATTATACGCGTAAGATCCTGCCGCTCCCGCTGCCGCTCCGCTGCCCGCAAAATTCGAGGCCGAGGCCTTAGTCTCTTTTTCCTTTGTCCAATCCATGGTAAGCGAGTTAGAATCAAGGTTATATACACCCTCCTCTTGTTAAGTATTGATACTTTTAATTTATGTTAACAATTAAACAAGCTGACTTTTCATGGGGTTTATACATATATATATACATATTTGTAATGGAAAAAAACGTTTAACTTTAATTGATTATATTTTGGTGGTAAAATATATATTATACTTCAAAATATTTTTACATTCACAATCCAATTATTTATATATTTTATATCGTTAAACAAAAAACTTTTCAATTTATTAGTTTCAAAATCCTAAGTTTTCCTTCAATTCTTTTTCTTGCCGCTTCAGAAATTGGTCTTTGAGGTAATGCCGGGGGACCGAACTTCATTCCCGTTACAATTTCCATCCCAGCTTTTAAAGCGGGGACCCAGGGTCCTAAAAAGTTTGCATTATAATAAAAATCAATAATAAATTCTATTAGGAAGAATAAATAGATAATTTATTCATTTATTCAAACTTTTCTATCAACTTTTTCAAAATCTTTATTACCTTCAGCTGTAAAAGCTTCAACAGCTTTGTTCAACTGTTCCTGTAGAGATTTGGCACGTTCAAGGTCACCAGAAGCCACCGCATCCATTATATCTTGAGCTTGCCGCGGGAACAGATTGTACGTGGTGCCGATACTGGACTTTATACCTAGAAGTACCGCTGGAGCCAGCAGCTTTATTGGGAAATAACACATAATAAGAATTCTGATTTTATAGAGCAATCTCGAAAGAAGTTTATTTCATAATAAGCCCTAAGATTTTCGTGAATTTTATTCATTTAAATGAAACTAATATATTTCGGATATACTACGCGGTTTATTTCGGTTACTTTTCATCGTGATCACGGTTGCTGAAAAGTAGCCGAAACGTCGGGAATATGTAGTTTTTCACAAAAATGAACCGCGTAGTATATCCCAAAAATATTAGTTTCATTTAAATGAGTTTATTTTATGTGAAAATTATTACGTAACATGATTTATCTCACCAAAAACATGCCTGTTAAAAAGGGGGCCAAGTTCCAATCGGCTAATTGTTTGCCTAAAAAAGTGTTGAAATCCAATCAAATGCCAAGTTTAGATGCACTTTGAAATCGATCATAATCATCTTCATCAACAGCATGATCCACTGGTTAATTTAATTATATAAATAATAATTAATAAATTAATGATACAATTAATTAAGTGTTACGTACAACACGAAAACCTGCCAAGTTCAAATTTAGAAGTATTATAATTATAGATATTTTTAACCAAGCACCTACTTATTTTCACAACTATACCATATTGTAAGTTGGGTGTATGGTAAAATGAATTTCGGCCAGTTGGACCGTTGACGTGAATAAGATGGCGGGTAGTGGCTGGATGTGGAAGGCAGAGGACTGGGTGTGGTGGCGAGTCTTGGGAATGGCAAATGTTTACCAGTGGATCATGCTGTTGATGAAGATGATTATGATCGATTTCAAAGTGTATCTAAAGTGTACCAGTATATGATTACGTAGGTACAATTTTATCTCTGTACTTGCAATAGGCACTGAGCTACAGGGGGGTCAAAAGTGGGTCGAAACGGTTCGTGTAAATAGTGCACGGCATGCGCGCGGCCTGTGGAACTTGGCCGGCGCACTACCGTGCGCTTAGATTAATTAAAGATAGTGTTGTTGGCTGTTTATCATGTACATTTTTAAATCAAACATTATTTTTTCTCCGTCTATCTCAGTCAAAATATAATAAAATGATTTTTATAAGTTAAACTGACTTTTTTTTTCAAACCTTCGCTGACCCTAAACAACATTTATGATCGTGAAGATGTCTTCATATAAATACATTATACATACAGATGAAGGGATACACATCTATCTTCCATCAACAGAACTATTAACTAAAGACGTTGGCCGCTTCTTGAAGATGAGAACCGATGTAGTAGGACCCGCTTGAACTACATGTGTTGATATATTTGTACTTGGATATTGCTCATGAATAACGAGTATAGAAGAGAGGAGAGGAAGAAGAATTGAGACACGCGCGCCCTTAGTGAGCGGGGAAACAGACATACTCGATACATGAAAGAGAGATTAGACAATTAGACTCGTATGATGTACACGAACATGGCCGACACGTTTAGTTCGAACAGCTTGTGTATCGAGCTGTTGCGCCAGACTTTGACGAATGATTTCTGTAAACTGTATTTATAATTTGGATTCCTCCTTGAGCTACATATTACTACTTTAGTTTTAATTTAATAAGCCTTACAGTTCCTCGGACTAAAGTGGAATTTTAAATTTATATACAGCACAATATCCATATGTTCAGAATAAGTATGTAAGTAATTATGTTTTCATTATTAGTAACCGTTTTTGTTTTAAAACAATTGCCAATTCTAATTTTGTTTTGTTGTTTTTCTATTTAATATTTATTAATAACGACTGAACGCAAATTATTATAAAACCTGATTGTGCTCTTTATGAGTTACAGAACATATTATTTTATTGCGACTTGATTGTACATAAATCCATCGATTACAAAGTTTCCTTCAGATTTATTTGGTAAATTAGTAAGTACTTATAAATAAAGTAAATAATATTTATATACCAAATCTTCGTCCTTAATATTGATGAAATGAAAAATATTTTCTTAGTTTAATGATTGTAGTAAAAAGTAAACACTAATTATGTAGGGCGGCAACCAGAGGTACCAGGAAAACTACGAAACTTATTTTTATGTATATTATAATGAGAATTACATATTAAAACTCCAGTCATTAGATTCTCTGCACCTTGACTGAATCCCTAACACCATCTGGAAATTAAGAAATTATTGTTAATTGACACTTTAACTATAATAAAATAGTATTTATAATAATATGTAACAACAGTAAGTTAACAATCTTAACAGCTAACAGCCTTTGTTAGTGAACTCATCAGAAGCTACTGAAACAATGATTCTTAACATGAAGCAAGTCCCGCAGGAGCTACATACAAATGTATGGATAAAGCTTGTATTAAAAGACATTGACTGTTTGAGCCGCTGCAACACTCCACCTTCAACACTACACTTGATACTTCAAGTCTTTTACATTCTAATATGTTTAAATCTCAGTCACTTCCCTCTCCATATAATGTGTAGCTCATTGTCTTTAATATATTGTGTCTAGTGTAATCACACACTCATGTTTCATTAATAGCTACCTGGTTCATTGTTAGTTTTCATCTAACACTTGATGATCAGCCGTCATCTCCTGATGGATGAATCTCAAGTACAGTCCAATAACACCATCTGTAATACATAATACAATATATTAATACTGTTCACAAACAATATTGTTCATATATAAAGACAAACAGAGACAGTTACATCAAGGATTGTTTGAAAATTAAAATATAATATTTTATATTAAACTTAAAATATCCATAAATAAATTACACTTCATATCACCAAGAAGGTTTATTATTCAAATAAAACAATTCCTTATATATCAGTCTCGTTAGTATCATCATTAATAACATACTGTATTATGTATGGAATTATTATTATTATTCTGTTTGAAATATTGGATTCCTACAAAAATTATAAATGTTTATAATTAAACTAAACACATAAATTGATTTTACTTAAAAAGTATAACACTATTAAAATACTTTTATAATAATCGATTATTCTAGAAAGACGCCATATGGATTTCATTATATATAATATCAACAGTACGTGTGGAATTATAAAATGAATGTGTCGATAACGGTTTACTCAATATAAGAGATACATTATGGAGAAATTAACATTAAAATTTACAATATAACTTAAAACAAAGTAACCAACAGACCTTACTGTCACACTACTGTCGTACATCAGCTACATACACTTCTCTTCATAGAAGGTTTCCTCTCGTCCGCAGACCACGTCCTAACAGACGCTGCACCAACAGCTTGGACCCTCATCTTGAATTATATATTCTTAAGAGTCCTGTAACGTAACGAATGATTCTAGGTTTTATTATGACTCTAGATTTCTTACTTAAATATTCGACTTACAAGAAGTCGCATTTTAAAGGGAGAAAAACATAATAATAAAGAAGACCGTTAAAACGATATAACTAAAAAACTAAAATGTTTTATGATACTTAATAAACATTTGAATTTGAACGTTATGTCAATAACATAAAAAGTAACATTTATTAGTACCTATGTGCAAAAAAAACACTCACTATGAAGATAAACGACGTAAAACACATCCATCATAAGGAAGGCCGCGGCCGACTGACACCAGAGTCCAGACGCACCAGAGGGAGCCGGAAGGACAGCAGAGACATGAGAAATGAATTATGAAAGCAATTAATAGTAAAATCATAAAATGTAAATTAATAAAATTTAAAAACTAACAATAAACGAGCCGTCACGTTGGCCACATTAAGAATCATGGGGAATGGGGATAAAACCAGTGTTGCCAACTTTATTTTTTAGAGAATCGTACTATAGACTAAAAAATAGTATTTTGTCTTGAAATTCAAGAAAATAAGAGTACGCGTTGAAATTTCAATAAAATGCGTAATTATATCAAATAAAAATTGTATGTAATTCCAATTTTCAGTTATTTAACATAATTCATAAATTAATATGTTGGATAAAGATATTCATTCATTACATTTATTTTGAAAACAGAAAAAAATAATTAATTGCTTTGGTCACTATCTGAATTATTAGGCACAGCAGATGCGGGAAAAGCATTATATTTTTTGAACATACATACATACATACTTAAATTTAATTTGCTCAGCATATCGTCACATGGCTTGAAGTTTATATACACGATCCTTTTTCTTTAATATGTTGTACAGCTAACAAATTCTTATTAACCGTTTCTGGAATACAGTTTAGTTTTACATATTCCTTATAGTTATAGTATAGTACTTAATATAGTTAATTATAGTTATAGTACTAAAGTTTAGTTTTACACATTCCTAATAGTTTTATTGGAGATTTATTTTTCGTATGACTTCTTTTAAAATATCGTATATTTTGCGTACGATTTCGATCGTACATCGTACAAGAGTCAAAAAGGTAATATAAATACGATTTAAATCGTACGGTTGGCAACACTGGATGTAACTGTCATATAATTACCGTGAAAGAAAAGATATCTTAAGTAGCTCTCAAATCGATTTGACATTAGGCCATATTTTAAATTATTTCAGTTATTCATTTGCCGTTGTTTACTGTTCTTCTTGTGCTGTACGTTCTTTTTCAAACATTTGACCCGGCTTAATATATCATTGACTCCTATTTCTACGCTTTTGACGATCGACCCCGGCTTTTCTCAATTGGACTTTGTTTTCTGCGACTTCGATCGACCCCGGCTCTTCTCATTTGGATTTTGATTGCAAACTACGAATTTGGATTATCGATAAGTTGAAAAAATGCCACGAAAATCGGCTATTAAGTGTTATTTTCGGTGTGCGACTAAAGGTACGATACTTATTCAGTAAAATCTATAAAATTATTATTTGTCATATATACAATCAATTACTACTCTTGTTACATCAATTTCAATCGTAACAGTTTATTGACTTCTAATAAAAAACATTTCAGGTCCTTTTCATCAATTTCCTAAATCTGAATATCCAAATTTGGAGAAATTCATTCAAAGGAAAAATATTTTAAATGAAGACATGAAAAAATAGGAAGATTCTTATATTCATAACAACATAA